AGGTGAGTGACCATGTTTATTTTTGGTTTTATTTTTATGTGGTGGAGGGAGGAGGGAGGGAGGACCTGGATATCTAGGGCATGTATGGATGGGTGGATGGGTGGATGGGTGGAAAATTTCGATATGTGCCATGTTGTGATTGGGGAAGGAAATGAATTTACAGAGTGAGGAAGGATTCGAGGGGAATGAAAAGGACCCTGATTAGTAATTTGTTATGGATGGATGGGTGGATATTCTTATTACTTGGTGGGTAGATAGGTAGATGCGGCTCGTTTTGCTGAACGCTGAACGCTGAACGCTGAACACCGAACATTGAATCTATGGAATAGAATTAGACAATTGGAGATGTCCAAACGAAGAGTGTGTACTATAGAAGTAGGAAGTATATATTGCCCATTACGGATTTGTGAAACTGGTTAGGTATGCTATTGATATCCGAGTAGACATCGTTTTCGATCGGATATATCGGGAAATTTCTCATGTAGCATTGTATCATTGATTCCTCAGATACCCGAGGAAAACAAAAAGCTTCCATTCTTTCTTCTATTCTACCTTCTATTGTGCCTTCTATTCATATTCTTCCGATGGTTCTTTTATGATGTATATATGTATGTATATATGATGCATATATGTATTCTGTATGCATTCCCTTCTTTTTCATCCGTCTATCCGATACTTTAATATTATCCCAAGAACCCAATCCAATCCAATTCAATCCAATCCAATCAGAAATAATCATCCAACCATCCAAACTCCCCAAAACCCAAAATCCAACATCCAACATCCTCAACCCTCAACCCTCGCAGCAAAGCCCCAAGCCCCCCCAAAAGAGTTTCCAGACTCCTCGGGAACAAAAGATCATCCACGCTTAGCCTTTCTCTAGCTTCCGCACCAGCCAAGCCCCAAGCATCCAATGTGATGCTTCTGAAGTTTCGATTCGCTCGAAACCACGCATGTATGATAGACGGAGCAGGTCAGTAGTCTGGAAAAGTTTTTTCTCTCCATGGTAGATTCGAGAGCGACGAGCGAGTGAGGAGTCTAGATACTTTTTTTTTTAGAAATGGAAATTAGGAAGATTAATTGTTTTCTCGTGATGATCAGAAACCCTGATTGCTGAATCCTGATACTTCGGGATTGGATCTACAGAGTACAGCGAACACAGGGTCTATGGATCGTCCATCTTCTCAATCGCCTAATGATGTAGAACGGGATAGCATTTGTGATTACCGATAGAATCTCAAAGAATCTTTCCCCTGTACTCGACGACGGGAAAGAATCCCATTTGTTTCTGTCAATGCAAAATCGGATTTTTCAAAAATCATCATCATAAAGTTGGATATACACTTCGTTACCCCTCCTATCCCATCCCATCCCATCCCATCCTATCCTATCCGATCCATGCTCTCCTCTTCCAATCCCCCACGCTCACGCCAAACTATGTATGTATATGCATTGGCGGGGTAATGATTGAAAACTCCGAAGAGAAAAAATTGAAGCCTAACAATGGATCCCCTCGACCCTTCGCGTGCCTGTGCCGTTTCAATGATGATCTGTGATTCTATGATCCTATGATTTGCGCACCCTGGGTGGAACTTTTAATATATCGCACATCGGACTCTGTACATCGGGAGCGGAGAGAGGGTGAGAAGTTGTGGATGGGCGAAGTGAGGGGCATGATACTTACATACCTAGGCACATCGGAGTGGCAAGAATTCGATGTATATTCTATGGATGATGTACGAAGACGATTGTGGAATTTGTGGTAGACATTTGATTTGATATTATCATCTGCAATTACTGGATTAATTAATAGGTGTAGGTAGACGACTAAATTGTATAATGTATTGTGATCGTAATGGTATAGATGCCTACTCTTTAGATACCCGGATGTAACTATCCTCCTCAACTCTTCGTACGAAAATCACGGATGTTTGAAATCGTCAAAGTAGCCATCGACCAGTATTGGAGGTAGCAAACGAATCGAGATTTCAGAATTACCATTCACTAGCTCCACGCTCACTCATCACGTTCCATGTAATTGGTAACCCTAACTGCTCGATTCGTAGATACGTGAATCAAATACATCCACTCATATCAAGCTGTCAGCCTAATCTCAAGGACATCGACTCGTCTGGAATGCATCGTCTACTAATTCATGACTGCAGGTATACAGAACATCACTTACACATGTGTATCCGTCTTCGCCGGTAGACACTATCGATATGTATGTAGGTAGGTTATTCTCTCCACTGTGATATGCAAAAGGTGGATTTGGGTATGCATGTGTGTATGTGTGCCTTTCGCTATGGTCTTCTAGACTGTTTGTATATGTAGGTATGTACTAGGGAGCGAGGGAGGTAGCCCGTTGACAGGCGACTCGTCAAGCGAATGGATGAGTTTTCCTCATCACCATTGGAATCTGGCGTCTATCTACTGGTTCTAACGCAGAAATTGGAAACAGATAGAATGTAGGAAATTTTATATTCCAGTCAATTGGTATGAAAGATCGACTGTCATATGTGTGTATCGAACGAATCGCCCTACTCAAAATTATGTAAGTGGGTTTGCGAAGTCAGTCCGACAGGTCACAGATAATATGATGGACGCTGTACGGTGTCAAAATCTTTTGTTCATCCACAAGATTGACTGATGATCGGAACCTTCGGATTCGCCGGTTGGATACTGGATGGGAGGGGCTGGGATAGGGTGGCTCGAGGATAGGTGAATACCGGTATCTGCAAGTAACCAAGCAAGCAAGTAGAGCCCTATGGATAAAGGACGTGGATAAAGACGTGGATAAAATGGATGGATAAATTGCGCCACGTCGTCGCGGGTACAGATGATCGACTCCATTTATTTATTTTATCGTTTTTTTTTGGTTGTCTTTTCGTTCTTGCAAAGATGAACTAGTATGATCTGGAGCCGAAAAGTTCTCGGAATCCTTGATTTTTGGCTATTTGTGATAGAAGTCTCGGGAGTGTGTTGTGTCATTGTGTTGAGGGTGAGTGGATTTAGAGTGGCAGAGAACATGACATGACATATGACTGATACATGGTTTTGCACATTTCAAGTCATGATATGAGTGTGATGGTCGCTTGAGTCACTCGCGATCTTCAACTGGTGATTCTTCGTTTTGTAACTGGATGCTGAAGCTAGGAGTTAGAGTCAGAGTCAGGTAGATGGATGACTGTATTGTAGGTTACTTTTCCTTGTGCTACCCCGGATATCTTTAGCTTCTCGAGTCTACCACTTATTACGCACTACTTACCTACTTTATTTACTTCACGCGTCATACCCGCTCTATATCATAAGCTTATGGCTTTTTTGGTTTCCCCATCCTCAAATTATGTTTCAATGATCTAGCGGTCAGAACGGGGTAAAGTACGTAGTCTGAATACATGTATAAGATACAACCCCCAAATTTCCGTTGTAACCCCCACAGTCTATGGATCTTACTTGCGTGTTCATGCGGATTATAGAGGCGGGTTATTGGGGATCGTGAGATTAGGTTGGGGAGGCGAAGACTCATCACATGCATTGGGGAGGTGGCGAGGGATTAAAGGTGTGATCAGCCAAGGGAATACAAGATGAGTGAGCTTTGTGAGATGAAATGCAAGTGCATATATCGAGTACACATGATGAATGGTGACACGAAAAGACGGAAGACACGTGATATTTCGTCTGCTGTTATGTTACAGGATGAGATGAGCTAGGAGCTGAGAGCTGACTTGGCTTGCTGTTTGAAATAGTATTTGATTGATGTTTATCTAGAGTTGGATAGATATGCGCAGAGCACCACGAAATACAAGTTGCATGGATAGACCTATTCGAAGTATACGTCGAGAACTTTCACGTCTCGCTTTCTTTCGATGATCCCGTTGGGTGAGAGAGAGAGAGGTATTATTCATAATCATAATTGGTGGCTACATTTGTTAGCTGAAGGTAAGACTTCATATAGATGATGCACAACACGGCTCGTCTTACAAAAACCACTACGCCTATGCCTGCCACATCATTTTAGTCGCATCTGATTCGCTATGACGGTATAAGAATGAGTGTTCAAATTCAAACATTTTATATAGGATCCAAGCACAATATACAATCTGAAGGTGAATGAATACAGTATTTCTCATATTTCGGACTGCAATACATCTCCAGGTTCTCGTTTTGTGATTCTGAAGAAGTTACTATTAAGTCTATAAATCCATTGTTCTAGATTAATCGAACCATTCAGAATATCTCAACATCCGAAACACTTTCAATTTAGCAGCAATTGAATACTCTGAAGGTTTTAATTGTTGAATTTCAGTCCGGACCATTGAATACACTAAGTGAATAACATATACCACATCATGCCTGTCTTTCTCTTCTCGCTTCAAAATTCTCGTTTCATCACGTTTCATAAGTAGCTTCGAGCCTTTCCTTTTTACCATGTATTGAGTAAGATTCTACTCAAACCTTGGAGCAGAATGTCGATGTATTATGGATGTAGGAGTAGGATGTGAGAGTATTGACGGTATGGACGAGGAAGGAGGAGGGAGAAACGAATGACTTGCATAGGGTAGGATCTGTAGTTCTAGGGTATGTGAATGAAATCATAGATAAGAATGGTATTGTTAAGGGCAAGGAGTGTTCAGCGTGAGATATACGCACGGAAATTCTTAACTCCTGTGGGGTTGACGGGATTGGGTTTGTCTTTACAGGAGCTTGTTTATTCGCATTGGGGAGGGGATAGGGGGGCTTGATATCGATGGTGGGTATTTAGCTTTGAAGTTGTGATTCCCCGATTTGGTTGGAGTGGAGCAACATATATATGTATCTGCGAAGGATTTGGAGGAATAGAATCAAGGTGTCAGATACGTGTCTTGTGATTATTCTAGGGCATGGGAGAAGTAGAAAAAGATAAATGGTATTGAATGGAATGATAGGTGTACAGTACGTATGCGTCACGGCCGAATTTTACACGTGGTGGGTGGTCTCCCCGCAGATTATCTCCTCGGATGGCTAGCTCTTTATACTTCCACGATATATCAAGTCGTACTCCCATTCTTAATCTCATCGTCGCTTTTTCGAGTCTCGACAGAGTAGAACAACGCTTGCAAGTTATGGCAAACTACTGTGGAGATGCGTACGGTACATCAGGCTGTGAAAGGGGATATGGATATGGAACTCTATAGTTGCAAAGCTTGATGCTTGAGACTCGAAGACTGACCATAGTAAGTTATTATTCAGCTACAGAGCGAATCTAAATCTCTACTCTTCTAGAGCAAAATGTCTATCATACCCCCAGAATGAACGGACAATGAGTTTCCTTCTAACATCCGTTTGTATGGATAATTATAGAGCAAAAACTTGCAGCTCAGATCTACAAAGAGACAAGTGACTCCCAGAATATGGTATGTTGGTACGTACACTATCTTCTACTCAAGACTACGCGCTTGATTCACGCGTTCTTTATATTCCTACATGCTAGATGAACCGATAGAAAGAAAATGAAGATTTTACGTTCATGAGCTTGTATGACTTGCTATTCTGCAATCTCGTCGCTTTTCGTCTTCACTTTTCGGTCGTTCTAGACTGCTGCTGTGGGCTGGGGCAAAGGGTATCAAAGAGCACATGAAATTCTTTCTTCCGGGTCTGACTCCATATCTACTTTCCATTTTATGCTTAAGAAGTTCTTCGTGCTTCTACAGTCCCAAAGCCGAATTCAGTTCACTTGTCGCTCTAGCTATCTTGTCCGATCGACCTGGCGTTTCTTGAAAATTTTGCAATGCCTCTTTTTCCTCGAAGGTGTACGAGTTGATGAAGATGAACTGCATCGCGCGATGAAGTCGGGATAGATCTCTCTCTCTACTGTTGCTAGAGATTTCTACGCCCTAGATTATCCGTTGCCTCGGGGAGTATCAATAAAGATAGCCATAGATGGCTTTTACTTCTGAGCAGTAGATTCTTGAATTTGTCCAAATCAGAAGACGGTAAGAATTCGAGGAGTACTAAGATGCCTTGCAAATTGGTGAAACCCCATAAAGACGAACATGAAGATGAGGATCTGATTTAAAAGAATGACAAGGAGTGAAAATGTAGGAAATATCAAGTCAGCACAGCAACGTAGCAAAGCGGCAGAGTCTGTACTGATATGAAAAGATACTCAAATTCAATGACTTCACCGATTAGAATTCTTCAACAGCTACAAAAAGTAGACAAACCGTAAGATAGAAGAAAGATGGTAAATTAAAGGACGAGACAAATTATAATGGGAAATTGAAATTTCCAAAAACAAAGATCAACAATATACACATTCATAAAGGGGCATTAGGGGACCGTGCGCGGAAGCGGGATGTCGGCTAAATCGAGGAGGCATGGCATGGCACTCCTTCAATCCTTCCGAGATGGGACATTCACGTTAGAAGCGTGATACCTATTACCTGTCATTGTTCCCATCTCTCACGTCAATTGAAACCCGATGTAACGTCAAAATTGTGTGGACGATTTGAAGATTGTATTTGCATGACGAAATCGGCCTGTTCCAAGCTGCGGGGTCAGCGCTAGATCATCAAGTAGGCTCTAGCTGGACGGGAAAAAATGCACCTTCAAAAGGCAGTTTGTTTTAAAATGATCTCTTAAATTCATATATCAATCGCTCGGATCAAAAACTGTATAAACAAATTGAAAGTTACTCAACATAATTTATTTCCATAATGTATCATATTTGGCTTCTTTCTTATGATATTAGATGACATTAACGTAAAAGCAGTTTGATGCGCTGTTAATTATCCGACCAGCTGAAGTTAAAGCTCTGGTGGCTGTAATTTATGCTTGTCTCTTTCCTCTTCTGATGCTTGGAGCATAGATTTGCGTGAAATGTCTCATTGCGGTATTTGCAGGTAGACCGAGGTGCTGAATTGTACTTTATGAAACCCAACATCAGATTCCGGTTTGAATTTTAGATGAAGTAATGTTCTCAACAAACATAAGAATGCTTCGTTCCATTTTATGTCTTTTTGCTCTCGTGTCTCTGGCTTTTGCGGCGGGTTCTGGTAGTAAGATAAAAACGAAATACTCAAAAGACTGTAAATGTGTACATCTACCCCGATCTAAACACAATATCATACCTGACTAATCATAGGGACCAACTGATGGCTGCTGGCCCTCACAATACTCATGGCAATCATTGAACGCGTCCATATCTGGGAAATTAATCAAAGCAACACCAGCAGCGATTGTGTGTTATCCAGGACCACAACAAAACTTAGACGCGTGTTCTACAGTTGTGAAAGAATTGTCCGACGAGGAGCTCGTTGCAAATGATCCCATTGCTCTAGATACCCCTATCAACAACTCCTGCCCACCAATTGATTTTACGGCAGGAGGGATTCCAGGAAATTGCTCGATTGGTGATGCTCCTCGATATGTTGTAAATGCGACGACGCCTGAAGATGTCGCCCAGGGATTAGCTTTCGCTAGGAAGAATAACATTAGGTTGGTGGTCAGAAATACTGGCCATGACCTATTGGGTAGGTAGGTGATCGATTGTATTCCTATCCAATAGTAGAATCTAGGTAATTAATTCTTCCCATATAGATCCACTGGTTATGGTAGTCTAGAGGTTTGGATCAGATATCTTAGACAAGGTATCATCTTCCAAGATACATATTTACCTTCCGATGGTTGCAAATCTTCGAATTGGGAAGGAAGTGCATTTAAGATTGCTGGAGGTTATGTCTGGGAAGATGTCTATGCAGAGGCCACGAAACAAAATGTGATTGTGGTAGGAGGTGGTGATCCGGTATTTCAAATGACCGAAAATCGACCAACAGAAGACTAATATTGCTATAGACTGTAGGATGTATCGGAGGGTGGTTTCAAGGAGGAGGGCATTCACCTGCATCTCGTGATTATGGCCTTGGTGCTGATCAAATACTTGAAGCTGAAGTTGTCCTTGCAAATGGAGAGGTTGTTACGGCAAATAAGTGTCACAATCAAGATATTTACTTTGCCATCAGAGGTGGAGGAGGTGGAACCTATGGAGTGGTCGTATCAACAATTATCAAGGCCTATCCAACGACATCAATTTCTGCCCAAACACTAGCCGTTGCACCACTGACTGATGCAGGCATCCCAGCATTCATGGCAGCCTTAGCATTAATATATTCTACATATCCAGATCTCAACGATGCCGGTCTTTCTGGGTATGGAAGCTGGGCGGTGCAGAGCTATGCGCCTGTTTTTGGAAATTTCACAACCGGCTATCAACATGCCATAGCCGTGTCAGGAAAGACTCTTCTCGAAACCCAGGAAATACTTGAAACTTTAATGTCCAAACTTGAGCAGTATAACACAAGTCTCGTTATCAATCCGAACTATCTAGAGTTTTCTACATATGCAGAATACTACCAAACACTTTCAGGTGGTAAGAGTGCAGCAGGTGTTGGAACTGGGGCTTTTGGTGGGCGTTTCTTTGACCGTACAGCTCTGACGTCTTCTCTGACGAATCTCAATGAGATGCTCAATGTAACTGCTGGATCACAAGGACAATTTGCTTTTACTTCTGTCTCTCTAGTTGGAGGCGGTCAAGTGTTTGTCCCCGATGGAAACTCAGGACTGAATCCTACATGGCGATTTTCTTACGTACACAATATCGTAGCGCGCGGATGGACTACAGATACAGACGAGGCTATCGTACAGGAAATCAGAGACGATATTACATACACGAAAGTCGGAGCGATGAAAAAGTTGGCGCCTAATACTGGATGTTATATGAATGAAGCGAATAGGTTTGATCCGGATTATTTGAAGGATTTCTATGGTGAGAGTTTACCGAAGTTGGAAGAAGTGAAGAAGACTTACGATGGTGACGATGTATTCTATTGTCCAACATGTGTAGGGAGTGATAAGTGGGTCGAGGACGCGACGGGAAAGTTGTGCCGGAGGCAATGAGCGCTTGATGAATGCGTTGTTGTGAATTGTAAAGTGACATTGGTCCTATGTAATGAAAGACCGGGTGAATAGTATTGAAAGCCACATCTAGACTTCCGGATATGTTGTAACAAATCCGCCCCACCCTGTCTGGAAGTCGCATGGTGACCAGAGATATAGTGAGCCTCTAAATTTTGCCTCCTGCCCGTAAATCCCAGAGGATAGGAAAGTGACAAGGCAATGAATTATATGTCTCCATAAGGGTGCATTAGCGTTACTGTGAACGAGCGTAGTACCTGATATTGGCGTCGACGAATGCGTCAAGGCAACAAGTTAAGGGTCCCTGGACAGCATCCTGCGGTACATTAAAACAAAATGTATTACCATATTTTGCATACAAGAAATCATCAAGTAACAAATCAACGAACCCCCAAATCCAAGAAAGATTCCCAACTCCCGAGATCAATTTTCTCATCCGGGAATGCGATTTCACAGACCTACCTTTGCTATCCGTTGTGGCAATTGAAATATAGTTCTAGAAGTTGACATGAGAGATACGAGGGTTCCGAGTCTATGGATTGTGGGGGGCGAAGAATCGAGATTGAGTGAACGTTCATGCACCTACTTACTGCACAATGTGCCCGAAGATTTCGGGGCAGGCGTGCAGATGGAAGGGCAACAAACAGTCTTGAAAACCGACATACATGCAGCTATCCCTCTGATCTCCTTGGTTCAATTGCTCGCATGCCCAAGGTCTCACATCATACCTCTTATCACACCTAACATGAAACCTCACACGAAACCTCACACGTTACCGCTCAAGATCAAATCAATAAACGTACAAAAATAAACACGAACGATAAAATACGATCCGATAGATAAATAAATAACTTCTCAGGATTTTTTTTTCATTTCATCTCCTCTTCGCTCCCTTCCAATGCTTCGCCCCTCTCTCCCTTTCCCCCAATTGTCATAATCCGCGTTCTCTAGTCACTCATGCCTAAAAGCTTCTATGAATATTATATCCTTCTCTCTTTCCTGCCAAAATTCCACTTCCACTACACACCCCATCTCCCACCGCACATCCTGAACAACATGCTCTGTAATAAAAATGCAATCATCGATGATAGTACTACACTCAATGCTTCTTGAGGGTTGCGTTTCTTTTCTTCTCCACTACACTCATACATACCACCACTGATAATTTCACCCTTATCCTCTCATTCATACTACTATAGATATAGAAGCAAGCAAAATGATACAAACCATGTGCCTCATGCAGTGCAAATAACTCAACTCCATCCCAATGCAGAAAATCAAGCGCGTAGACAAGCACACGCAATCAATCATCCATCAATTACGCCAAGCCCATGCTCTTACCACTCGAAAGATATCATCATAAGTATGTAAACGGATGTAAGGTAAGATTCCCCAGATTATGTATCGATCAATCATCTCCAGTAATGAACCCACCAAATAATCGGCGAACAAGTAAAGAAGACCATGAAAGACAAAGTAAGATACAATGGAAAGCATGCATGCATGCACCACACCATGAACC